GGCAAGGCCAGGGCAGCGGCCTCCAGGGCAGCGCTGGCCCACGGGAGGCCGTGGGGATGCGGTTGTTGGGGATGCCTGGGCTCCGTCAGCCAACCTCGGGAGGACATATGTGGGGTCGCTGTCATCGTCACCCACCGTTCGTGGCTGCTCCGAAAGGGATGGGGCTGTACCGCCATCTTCCCCGCCCGCCTGCCCGCCAGAGGTGAACTCCCTGACTTCCTGCCGCTGGTCTCGAGGGCAGAGCTAGTGTCCTTTGCTCAGAGTGACAGCGTGTCTGTGGATGTGCTGGGGCACAGGGAGGGTTTCCGTAAGGAGCAGACAGGAAGTGAGGTCAGTGTTAGGTCTGAACGAGGACATGCTGAGCCCGGACTCGACGGGCAGGGGCACCATGTATTGAGGCCCAGGCACCGCGGGGTGGCAGGTGCCAAGCCTCACCCCTCAGGGCCTCAGGGAAGCAAAGTAACGCGCCCAGAGCCTCATAGTTAATAAGCTGAAACTTGAGTCCCATCTCGGTCCCGCTGACCCGCAGGCCCCTCGGTGCCTTCCCGCCGGCAGGTCCGTGCAGGGGCGGTGGCACGTTCCTAGGTCCGAGGGCAGCCATGTGTTCTCTCTTCACCCCTGCGGTTCACGTGGCGTGAGGCTCACCTGACATCAGACCAGACAACTGGCAAAACTGCCACCACAGAAATCCATGTCGACACAGAACAGCAGGAGGCGGAAGACCCTTAAAGACGGGTTTGCGGTGGGAAAATGAAGGCTTTCTCGGTGATCAGGTGAGCAGGATGCACCCGCAAGAGCTGCTCCTGTTTGAAAAGCAAAACCACCCAACACGAGTTCAGGGTCCCACTCCTCCGCGGCCTGGCCTCAGGTGAGCAGAGTGGGCAGGGGTCCGGCCTCTGAGCAGAGGAGGAGAGGAGCACATCTGGCTCCGTGGGTCATTTGGGGCCGGACACGGGTGGGCACACTCCTTAACTGCACCTTCTTGGGGGCTGCACACGCTCCTCCGTGTTTCTGAGACCTACACGCTGAGCACACAGTCTTGAGCTCCGTTGACCTTGCTCACCACCAAGCCCCCTGAGCTGAGCTGCCCCCGTCCGCCACTGGCCTAGCCCTCAAAGCCGCCTCAACACAAGAGTCCAGACCCCTCAGCTACCAGGACGCTTTACTGAGCCGAAGCCCTTCGCCCACGCCCCCGGGAGCCGCAGTCCGCGTGGCGTCCCTGCGCGGTCGCCGTGGGAGCACCAGTGGCCGCCGTGGTCCGGAGTCGAGCCCAGGGAGGCCGTGGGCCGCGACCGTGCCTGTGCCCAGCCTGGCTGCTCGGCGAGGACTCGCCCTTAGGAGAACTTGCTGAGGTAGTAGTTCTCCCACCTGCGCACTTTGTTGATGAGGGTCCTCCACTTGCTGGGGCTGATGCTCTCCATCCCTTTGCTGATGAGGTCACTGAGGAGGAGGAACTGGTACGTGTAGAGGCTGTCGATGGACTTGAGGCAGAACTCCTTCCTGTGGTTGATGATGAACCACTTGAGCGCGGACCAGGCCAGGTCCAGCGGGTTCAGGTAGTTGTACGGGGCAGGCAGGCAGAGCAGCTCGTGCCCACAGGCCTGGGCCACGTCGGGGCAGCAGGTGATGCTGGTCAGGTTGACGACGGACCGGGCGCGGGCCTGGGCCTGGGGCTCCCCGTCCTCCTTGGGCCTGGCCTCCGGCCGCCGGGCGTCCTTGACCACGATGGCGCACTTCCCGTAGGTCTTCTTCACCACCTCGCAGAACTCGGCGAAGAAGCCGTCTTCCGGGCGGACGCTCAGCTCGTCTCTCAGGAACACCCGGTACCTCCACGGCACCCAGCCCTGGCTGCCCCCCGCGTGCACCACGCACCAGCTCGGACTCGGCACGCAGAGCTCGCCCCTGAAGTCCTCCCCCGTGGCCAGGCTTTCGGGGATCTCTGTTTCCCCCAGATACACCGTCGTAAACCCGTCAAACTGCAGCGCTCTCAGCATCTTCAGGTACTGGAGGCATTGCTTCCTCTTGATGTTGTCAAACGGGCTCCTGATGACGATGTTTCTAAAGAGCGGGTGTGCACAGCGGGGCATGGCGGTCCGTGCCGAAGCGCTCCCCCGTCTCCATCTGTGAGTTCTGCCCGGAGCAGGGTGATGACCTCACAAAGGCCTTCTCACCGCTGGGCCCGCCCACGGACACGCCAGGGCGATGACCTCACAAAGGCCTTCTCACCGCTGGGCCCGCCCACGGACACGCCAGGGCGATGACCTCACAAAGGCCTTCTCACCGCTGGGCCCGCCCATGGACACGCCAGGGCGATGACCTCACAAAGGCCTTCCTGCTGGGCCCGCCCACGGACACGCCAGGGCGATGACCTCACAAGGGCCTTCCTGCTGGGTCCGCCCACGGACACGCCAGGGCGATGACCTCACAAGGGCCTTCTCACCGCTGGGCCCGCCCACGGACACACTTGGATGTGAGAACATCACGGGACACGTTCAGAACAGTTCCCTCTGGCTGACATGATACGTCACCCATGGAAGATGTGTCTGTGTGGCTTCGGCCTGAGGTCTGGGCATGGTGGGCAGGTGTTCGTTTGCCAGGGCTGCCGTGACACAGCGTCGCCGGCTGCTTGGCTTAGACAGAGGTTCACTTTCCCACAGTCCTGGGGGGAGTCCCAGGTCGGGTGCTGGCAGGTCAGGGTTCTCCCGCCGCCTCTCCGTGGCCGGTAGACGGTGCCTCCTCCCCGTGTCCCCCAGGTCTTCCCTCCGCTGTGAGCGCATGGAGAAGGGCACCTGCCGGGCCCTGGAGGTGGCGGCTGGAACCCCCGGGCCTGAGAGGAACTGATAGGGAACTCGGTGCCCGGCCAGCAGCCGCCCCTGCAGAGACGATGCAGGGGCCTGGCCAGCACCTGGGTGAGCCTGCTCGGCTGCAGCGCGGGGCCTGGGCAGAAGCAAACCATTGCACCGGAGGCCAGAACCTCCCAGAACCTCGAGAGCCCTTCCTCTTCCTGTCCTGCCCCCTTGGATGCGAACCAGCCTCCTCCAGTCACCTCCCACCTCGGAGTCGAGGGTGAGGAAGGACCGCCAGGGGGGCAGTGTGGCCATGACTCCACATGACTTAAGGCAACACCTCAGCTCCTTCCCTGACCCAGCCAGAGCCCTGCAGCCCCAGAGGGCACCCGCCCCTCCCAGGGAGGCCCTCCTCTCGGACTGCTTTCCTCGGGCACATTCTGCTCTTCGTTCTTTCCCTGCCCAGTGGCTCGTGTTCTACAGGGACACTGACATGCTTCCCTCATCCCAAGATGCAGTGACAGACACCCTAACAGCAGGTCTGGCTGCGGTTCTGCTGGGCGGTCCTCTGCCCGGCACAGACCAGGCATCAAAAACGGGATATTTGTGAACCAGTGCCCCCCCCCCAATAAAACGGAAGCAGTTGCCACACATACGAATAGGCATATGCGTGTGCCAGTTGGGTCTCGCTCCGCAGACCCGGTTGCGTGGGAGGCATCCCAGTTGTTTCTTTCAGCCATCACACTGGGCTCGGGCATTGTCGGGGCTCCTGACCCCACTCCCGAGGCCAGAGCCATGGCAGGGCCAGGGGCCACCCTCCACTCTGGCCATTGTGTGCGCAGCTCCAAACCTCTGGCCCCCTGCCCGGGCACTGGGCTCCTGCTGGGACGCGGAATGTCAAGGAGAGAGACCCACGGAGCCCGAGCGGTCGCCCTCCCACTCCTCACCTTGCAGGGAATCGAGGTGTCTTCGTGGGAAGGTCACAGGAACGTTGGAATCGGATGGACCAAGCTTTGAACTTGCCGCCGGCTGTGTGATGATGTGCCGATCTCTTCGCCCTCTGGGCCTCAGTTCCCCAGTGTCGCCACCCCATGGAGCGTGTGAGGGCATCAGCTCCCCTGGCCAGAGTCCCAGCACGTGGTAGTGTTTGTACGTGTTTGCTTTGTCCTATGGCACCGTCATGGGCACCCGCTTGCCCACTGCTTCCATCCCCCTTCCCCACAGCACCGTGGGTGTGGTTCAGGTTCTTCCCCAGGGAGGAAGCCACACCTGGCTGCCTGGGACGGAAGCAGCCTCGGGACTCCCGCGTGGACTTCAGGAACTCGGGCTGCAAGGGGGCCAGACCTGCTCCCCTGCGCCTCTGCCGGAGCAGAGCTGTCCTCTGTCCTCGCGCACAAAGCCTCACCGACCCTTGTCCAGACACGTCCAACCTGGCAGGAGCACAGCCTGGCTGCCCGCTGGGTCCCACTGACTTGCTTCTGCTGATTAAACTTCATAATATAATTCCATCACCATCAGCATCAACCATCATCACCACCACCACCACTCAGCATCAACCATTAGCACCACCACCACCATCTACATCAACTTCCCCACCACCACCAGTATCAACTGTCTCTACCATCACCACCACCACTACCATCATCTACATCAACCATCATCACCACCACCACCACCATCAATATCAACCATCATCACCACCACCACCACCATCAGCACCACCATCCACATCAACCTCACCAACACCATTAATATCAACCATCACCACCACCATCAGCACCATCACCACCAGCCACATTAACCTCCCTACTACCACCAACACCAGTATCAGCTATAACGGGTGGGCAAACTTTTTGACTCGAGGGCCACAATGGGTTCTTAAACTGGACCGGAGGGCCGGAACAAAAGCATGGATGGAGTGTTTGTGTGAACTAATATAAATTCAAAGTAAACATCATTACATAAAAGGGTACGGTCTTTTTTTTTTTTTAGTTTTATTCATTTCAAACGGGCCGGATCCGGCCCGTGGGCCATAGTTTGCCCACGGCTGAGCTATAATCATGAACACCAACAACACAAGGCTTATAATTATGTATTTATTTTACTTTTCAAAATATATTCACATACATGATCTCATTAGCTCTTTCACACTTTGTAAGGTTTGAAGAACTGGAGTCATTATCCTCATTTTATCTGTAATGAAGCAGATTCACACCAAAGTGGTGGCTAATGGAACCCGGACTAGAGTTGGGTCCTTCTGACTCCAAAACGAATGCTTTTGTTCAGCGGACCCCACTGTTTCAATGAAAACGAAGGACTTCCCACCCACTTCTGATGTTGACGACTCTGGTTCTACATTCCAGTTGGGGTCTTCAGCATGACTGACCCTTTGGGACCATATATCCCAACCCCCACGCATCCCAGGTGAGCCACTAGCCCCCCAAAGTTCTTGTCACCCCTAAAGTTGAAGTTTCATCCAGGCCTCTGGACCCTAAACTCAGCCTTCTCTCCGTGACCAAAGGCCACCTTCACGGGCCCCCAGGGATCTCCCAGCTCTGATGACGTGGCTGCCCCGAACCCTTCCCTGGAACACAAGCTTTTCTACTGAAGGGACAGTGTGGCCGAGCTCCTGCCCCTACGGTCTCGTCTCAGCTCCAGACGGCCCGAGAAGGACACAGGATGCTGGCTTTTGTCAACGCCACCCTGGAAGTGCCCCGGGCCAGGGAGGCCTTCCAGCCCCGACCTCCTGGTCCAGGTAAGCCCAGAGCATCCCCCCTCCCCCCTGCCCCGCAGGCAGGCCAGGCCTCTTCTGTGGCGACCCGGCTGCCCTGCCTTCCACGGGTGCCCTAGATCTCGGTGTGGGGCCCGCTGTC